TTCCCTTCACCTTTAATAATTTCACCGCATGAAGATGTCAGCGGAATTTAATCAAACCCTAACCAACCCAATGCCTGCAAATCCAATATTTTCTAACGAAAGACTTTCTATCTTCCGATTTGCAGCGAAGCGCACTCAGCCACCTAATCTATGGAAATGTGCGTAAATTAGGGGTAATCTACACATTTTGATACTTAATAGCATTGACAAAAGTTGCTGCTGGAAATAAAAAAAAAATTTCTGAGCAGTTTTTTAGTTTTATTTGCCGAATTCCCTTTGTGACCATCGCATGTTATTGTCTTTAACGACGTATAGTAAATTTAGGTTAAGCCATCATGTGCCCATTTTTCTTTTATTTGATAGATTGCAACGACGAAACTAATACTGCCAGACGTAGGCTGTTCTAAATGCAAACTATACATTTCTCATGCGTTAAGATATCCTGAATGGAGCTGTTAGTAATTGGTCAACACCGTCTAGCACTTAACTGGCCGCATTTCACCAAGGCATGTAAGTTAACCAGCGCGTGTCCGCAATCACCAATTTACACTGCGCGATAAACTTAAGCCGAACACGGCGTTACAGATTTTTGGAGAATTGTTCTTATATAATAAATGTTGTGGAGTCGGTACTCTAGTGAAAAAAAAAAAAAAGCCATTTGTATAAGAAATGTCTTGTGTCCAATAAACACTTATGAATCATTTTTAAAATATGACGACCAACCAATCCCTAAATCAGGGGCCCAACGTTTCGAAACCGGTTCGGCTTCTTCTTCAGGGGCGACTATGGAGGAAGAAGAAGCCGAACCGGTCTCGAAACGTTGGGCCCCTGATTTAGGGATTGGTTGGTCGTCATATTTTAATAATTATTTCCCCAACTAGACAGACTTCTTTCTAATGTTTACTTTTAACAACTTTTAACACTTATGAATCATACAAGATATATAAAAACAAGTAACAACAATAAATAACTATATAAAATATATAAGAACATATAAGAACCACATAAGAAACTTATAAATGTTTCCCCAGTTTGTTATATGCTTCTTATATGTTCTTATATATCTTGCATGATTCATATGTGTTTATTGGACACGAAAATGTCTCATATAAATGAGATTTTCAAGAGGGTACAGGCCTGGGTAGAATGTAAGCCCTTCTTTGACTGTGAACTTCGCACTGTTCGTGTTATTTTCTTTCCAGCACAAAATTGTTGTGTTAATATTTATACAGCCGGAAGTTAGCCTGCCTCAGTGGGCGTCTGGTGTCTCAGCTGTAGATGAGCAACTTAGCTTGTGCGGTACAACCGCTAACCTGGTGTCTTTAGCGTGCACCACACAGTAGTGATACACGACCCCACGCCGGTACAATGCTCATCCAGATCGATACGGGCAGGGGTGTGGATTCAATTTCTCATTCAGTGGTAGTCTGTGCGCCCCGTCGTCGTCGTCTGTTATGTAGTCGAGGCGGCCACAATAATGATGAAAACCAAATTTTGTTGTTTATGCTAGAACCATACTATTAGTTATTAGAACTAAAATTTCCGAGACAAAATTAGTACCGAAATCAAAACAAAATCGGGACAGGAAATGCCAAACATCAAATTAAATTATATCAAATCAAATCACGTAGTTTATTTTCCCATTCAACAAAGAATGAAGAGAGGCCGAAGAAAAAACTGATAAATCAGCTTGACAAGGCCCTCGGCCAGCCTACAGAGGCAGTGGAGGTGGCAATGGAAAAATATATACTGAAGAGTTAGGAAGTCAATAGTTAGTGAAAATACAAAGGGGCGTCTCAGGAGCAATGGGTAGACGCATTAAACAACATTGAGAAACTGACTAGCTCTTTCCCCTATCGTTGCACAAAACTCGACTTTCTTTAGACAGCCTCAACTTAGATAAAAAAAAATGTTAACCCAAATTAACGGTTGACATACTAATGAAAAGAAAAGTTGTTTACAACGTAGATGCTCATTGCCTTTTCAAATAGCAGAATATGTAAAAAAGGAATGTACACAGTGCGAGGGATCTACATAAAATACACAGAAACAGCCAACATCTGAGAAACGCGATGCGAATACGGTATATAATACAATACACTGCGACGTAAACTAAAATAAAAATACAAATTGAGTGCGGCCAGTGCGGCGCACACTTTTGTTTTCTGTATTTTTCATAGTTGTAAAAAGTTCCGTAATTGTTTGAGTGATGCGTTATGTATATCTTCTTCATTACAGTACAGATGATCGAACAAATTTGGCAAAGTGTGCCTCAGAATTTGATCTCCGTATGCAGTTCTGTTAACTTCGGGACACTTTCCATTGAAATTTACGCTTCTGTGAGTATACTCAGAGCGTTTATTAGCGTTGAAATATTTATTCTGCTCTTTTAGTACGCACGTTCTATTCTCGCGCGTAGGAGAAAGTGCCTTGGTTCTGCCTTTTCTCTGTTAGTCGGAGAACGATCGCTCAACTTGCACAAAGACAAGCGGCAAAAACGTGAAGGCTCGTTTTGCGTCCAAGTTATAAACGCCATTTGGAGTGTTTACGTGAACGAACCCACCCTATTTCAGAGCTTTTTCCTCATGTGACTTGCAAAATTTCTCTTTGAGCAAACCGTCCAACTTCTGTGCCACATAATTCATGATTTAAACTGCGTCTCTACATCGATTCTCGCGGTTGCCTTGCAATCGCGCTCAGAATAAATCGGTACTTTTCGATACTGTGGGGCTCACTGGCAAGAGCGTCCCTGGTCAAAATTTCCTTTAGCAGCTTCGCGGCAGTAGTTGTCCTCTTTAATCTTTAATTAAAATAAGAGCACCGACTGGACATGACAGGAAAAACAATTTCATTAGACGTTTCGCCTCCCATGCGGGAGGCATCTTCAGTAGGTACAAAGCAAATGCAAGGGTTTTTCTCACAAAGTGCCACATTGCCGCGTTTTTTGCGTAGTACATTGTTGCTTTTAGAAATGTGCCCCTACGATTTACCTCTAGCTCAGGAAATAAGGGTAGGTTTGTAGTGGAGGCGAAGAGCGAAGGTTGCTTTACAGATAGTGAAAGCACGTTTCCAGATCGGAAAAAAGTGAATTTACCGTGGGGTGCAACTGGCGAATCAGCACGCGATTCAGTGCGCGAGCAATGCAAGTAACAAGCTTTAGGTTAGTAAATATGTATTTGAGACTCTGGAACGCGGGTTTCGTATATGAAGCTTGGGCAGTCGTCAGGGCAATCATTCTTTTATACAGGGCACAATCGAGCCACAACCTCTGGCAAGAAGTCAAAGTCATGCTGAATCGTCCCTCCGCTAGTTTCCTCCTCAAAGCTAACACCTAGGATCGCAGGCCAACAAAATTATCTGTCGAGGAAAGCCACAAGTACATTAACAACGAAACGGTCTGGTGGATCAGTCATCCCGTCCTGTTGAAAATGTACGTCCGAGTCAATCATATGTGCACGAATGTTCTCAATACCTACCCGGTAGATCTTTTGAGGTTCGATTTTATGAGGGATGTCCTGCCAGGGAGGTTCTATCCAGACAACTTAGGAATGAAATATGAAATTCTGTGTGATCGAGCTTGTGAAAGGGAATATTGACACCTACAAGTCGGTGGCGTAGTATACCTAGCGCTTTAGAAGGCAGGGAAGGCGGCCGGCTCACATAAGGCGCAGCGCATGCAGTTTGAACGCCGTAGGAGCCGTTGGCGAAAAAATGCCACGCTGGCTCCTTGCTGATGCAAAATATTATCAATGGGGAAAGGCACGTTGTATACAGGCGTTTCAGTTATGTAGCTGGACACTTAACGGAAATTCAGGGCAATCGGGTCAATATTAAATCTTTCCAGACATTCAAAATAAAATAGGGACAATTTGGGACAGCCAACTTAATGAAAACCAAATAGAAATTGGTTGAAAGATGCGTAGTGGTAGCTTACGCTGCTAATGAGGCACTTCAGGATCAGGACATGTGCCGGGAAATCTCAGCTCTAGTTATAATTTTACAAAAAAATAAAACGTTGGCGATTTTTTGAGTTAGCAGTGTCGGACTTTGTACCTAATGCTGTAGCCTGCTGAAATATAACTTAAAATTTAAAAGCGTTAACAAAGACGAGCACAAAAAAGGGAGGCGAACAGGACGAGCGTTTTTTTGTCCTCGTCTTTGTTAGCGAGTTTAAATATTATTTCATGAACCAGCTCGCCCGCTTCGTCACTTTAGAAATATAACTGTTTAGTGGTGCCCTGACTGCATGCCAATACAAAACGCTTATGAACAAGGACCAGGCATTTACTACTTTACGGTAAACGGTGTGTCAAAAACTTTAATTTCAAATAAAGGCCGAGTGAAAGACTATGATCACTGACAAAATAATAACGGCAGGGCATGTCTTTCGAACGCCTAGACTCTAGCATGTTCCCCATGTCATCCGTCGTGCTTTGGGTGCCCGCGCCCACTCGAGGTGTACGACAGGCTGAGCGTCGTCGAAGATAGGAAGCTTGCACTTATGGATCGACTGGTGAAGCTCCTCCATGTCGTTTTCACCTTGTCAGTGGCTACGCCAATAAGCTTTGGACTAACAACTTTACCTCCGATGTAAGCCTAAGAGGATTGTCTACTTTCTCAAAGCTAACCCAATTCAGGCTGTTTCTTTTTGGGCTGCCAATAGATGTTCTGCAGTTTAGAATTTACTTTTTTTTTCGAAAATGGCAATGACAAAAGTTTTTAGCCACAGGCTCCTTTGCAAAGTACTGACCGCGTTGACCTTGTCCACAAGCATAGGAGCGGACAAAGCCCCATCCATTTCCGGGGAGTATCGCAGCGACCCATCACGTTCGACGGCTTGTGGTCGACGCTTATCGCTGAATACACTCTCTCTCGTGGTCCCTTCAAACCAACCGATTCCTTCTGGTATCTTTCCACTCTGAATACGTTGCCATAAACGGGTGGCGAACTTGGGGCGAATGAACCGTCGAACCGGTCCAAGGGCACTGCTCGTTATAAAAGGTGCCTCTTGCCCCGGAAGGAGTGCACTGTAAGCCTTTCTCCCGGCGTTGCGATATGGAGACGTCCTGGTTTCTGGTCTACTGCTTCCTTGTTCTTGGGTCCGGAGTTGAGTGCGCTTCAAAGGCACCTGTAGAAGGAGAAATTCTCGATGAGGAACGGGGAAAAATGTACGCAAAGGAAGCGGAGGTCTTACTCACAGACATGTGTTTGAAGTCTACCGAGGTATCGTGGAACTACGGCAACAATCTGACGGAACATAACAAGAATTTGAGTGTAAGTTCCTTTCTAAAACTTCAAATACTTTCTAGCTGTAGAGGCCTCAGACTAAACGTTATGAAAAGCGCTAAAAAAAAAGAAAAGAAAATGGTAGTTTTTGAAGATTTTTTTCTGCTGCCAAGTTGATTTCGCCTCTCTGTCCAGTTGCGTAGTGACGTATTTTTAAGGCCTCATTTCCATATCGCGTGTTTCGCACCTTCTCTTCACCTGCGTCTTGGCGTCTTGTAAAAGTTAAGTTCCAGCGGTGCGTATTGTCGCCGAAGCTGTGTTCTCCGCAGCGCCGGGAAAATGTGCGTCCTAGCAAGCTATGGCTGTGAAGTCTTTCATTGAAGCATTTCAATGCCTCGGGCATAACTTGTTCTCGAAGAAATTATTCTGATTTTTTTTCTTAGAGAAATCCCTACCGAAAAATCCGGTATAACTTTTCGCTATCCGGATTATGGAACCGGAAATCTATCTGGATTCTATCTGGACTCTATCTGGAATTTAGGTTTTCAGAAATTATTCCTTTGTCTGCAATCTGGATTTTGGGTTTCCAGTAACAAATTTCCGATTCCATATTCCGGATAGGGAAAGTTATACCGGATTTTTCGGTAGGGATGCGGTTTTAGCAAGTATAGTGCCTCTGGTTAAAACAAAAGAAATCTTTATCGCTAAATTTAGACGAAGAAATATCGTGCTGCATGGCAAACTGAAAATTTTGCTACGCCATGCCTGCGTAAATATTTTACCTTAATAAAAAAAAGACCTGATATACCAATTTTGTTTTAATATCATCTGGCTGCTTGTAGGGGGTGCGAGGTATTTGTCTCAAGAGAAAGGGAGCATAAAAAGCTATTACGGATCCAGATCTAGCGCTTTCCTCTTTTCCAGGTTAAAGTTGCTATTAAATATACTTCTTAATGATTGGGTTATTTTGACAACCCATGATCCACGAAACAAGTGATTTTTTTAAAATAGTTAGCAAAGATTGAAGAGAATTCCCATCATAAACCGTGGGGGGCGCTTGCAATTTAATGGCGGAAGACTCCCGCGCCGATTGGTCGCAAGTGCGCCTGCGCTGCGTTGTCGCCTGGCCAGGAAGAAAGCGGACGGAAAGGCGGGGTCATTTGCAGACAAAAAAGCTTTCTGCCATATCCTGGCAGCTCGTATTGCAAACGCGGTCCCTAAGCCACGTGACTTCGATCGAGGAGTTGCAAACTCGAGTTTGAACAACGCAAACAACTGGAAACAGAGTAAACAACTTCCGAATATCGGGAAATACTTCTACAAACGTTTACACCGTTCTGGTTGAAAGTACACTATTAAACAAACCCGAAAGCTGAGAAATACTGTCAAAGTTGACGAATGGGAATAATGCGACTTCAGTTTTAAGAGAGAATGTGTTCATGGTCTAGATTGTATGCCAAAAGGGTAAAGCTCGAGTGTTACGAAAACGGGTTACATGTTGGGCCAAGGCTACATAAAACATGGATAGCCCAATGCAGGAAATGCACAAGCATCCAACGCGTATGGAAGGCATAATATTTAATAAATAATCATAACTAGGCACGATAAAGCGTTCCACTCGTGAATAAACTTAATGTTATGTTGACAATTTTGATAAGCCCCCGGAGAACATAAGAGTGTGTCGTGCATGCAGGGCGCCCGTAATCATCCAAAGTTCCCGGCAACCAAGCATAAAAAATCTTAACGCACGCGGGAAACATTCTATGCCCCCCGGGTTTATAAGAATGATCAAGGCAAGTTTAGTTTTTCTAAAGAAAAGTAAAAAATAAAAATAAAATCAGGCTCACAATTTTTCGAGGTTTTCCAAAAAAATATCCGCACATCCTTGATTTTCGCAATAGAGATCATGATACCCATAACGTAGCATATTCTACCTGCTCATGTGATATTTAAAACATAACTGCAGCTGTCGCAGATTCGCTCAGCTATCAAGTTGATTTGGTCACTCGGTCCAGCTGCGTCGTGACGTCTCGTCCAGGCCCCGCATTCGCGTCGCGTGTTTCTCACCCTCGGTCCAGCTGCGTCGTGGTATCTTGTCAAAATTACGCTTCGGCGTTGCGCGTCATCGCCGAAGCTGCTTCGCCCGTAGCGCCGGGAATACTCGCGTCTTATATTTTATCACTACGGTTAAAATAACGCTAAACCTTAACTTCCTTAGTATCTTTTCAAACATCAATTTTATCACAGAATCAAACCGTTCTTCTTGAGGTTGTTTGTTTTGGGGTGCGTTTCTTTAATTATTTTCGAAATCATTATTACGAAACGAGTCCGGCAATCAGGAAATAAGACTGCCAGCATCCGTTCAGAGTTAGTCTGGGATTTGCCGCTAAGTGAATTTGTTTAAACAGGCATCGGAGCGATTCACTCGGAGGCATAGAATGAAACTAATGCTAAACGATTAAAGTTGCCCATACTTCGTCCATGCTTTGCTATAAGAGGGAGCAAATAGGCGTCTTGGCAGGATGGTGTCGCACGCCCACGCTGAAACCTACGATATGCCCTGTGCGCGGAATGTAAGGCCGTCGGCTCTTTCATTGCAGATCGAGCAGAGTCTAGTGTCTGGTGCCCTCTACAAGGAGGTTTGGAAGAACATGACGCAATTCAAGTGGACCACGTTCAAGGATGAGCAAACGCGCACCATCTTCAGACGCTTCTCGACTCTGGGTACCTCGTTGCTGCCCGAAGACAAGCAGAAGGAAGTATGTCGGCAAAATAGACGTATGAAATTGTAGTCACAAACAGTCCAAGCAGAGTAGGGCGCGGCGAGTCCCGAGCATATCATTAACGTTTCTCAACCAATGAGCTTGCTGCGTTAGCCAATAAGAACGCCAGGGAGCCAATCAGGAATTAAGGAGCGTGAACACAGATAAGTCACACTTTTCGTTACTTAAGCTGTCAGCGACTCCGCACTCTAAACAGAAAGTTTGTCAGTTCACGTTCCCGCAGAGCACGAAGGCAGGTAATCCTGTAGAGCTCAGGGAAGGTTTGCTCTGGTTGGCCGAAGGATCCGAACGAGCGACAAAGTTCAGAATACTATGGGTTCTAAAGGTTGCGATGTGCGTAGGGAGATTGAGCAAATGGAACATCATGCTCAATCTATATGCTCACATATTATTTTGTTGTCTAACTGTAACCTGAACTTTTTCATTTGCCGGGATCGTTCTTGTACTTTCCGTCATTGACTCTCCGTGTTTTCCAGGATTGTAAGCTCTAAAACGTTTTTACAAGTATTTTTTATGTTGCCGTGCTTTTGTGCCAATTAATGCCCACCCATGAAAACAAAAAAAAAAGCAAACAAAAATAGAGTTTTATCAAGCTCCTCAGCAGTAGATATGTCGGAAATGAGATTTGTCAGCTCTTTGAACCTCGCCACAAATATTTATGACATTTTTCAACGAACTGAGAGGAATAAAGATGTATCGACCAGTGAAAAGGTTTATTTTCCAACAGAGAAGGTAAGCACTTGTACGATGATTATATACTCTTTGTTTAGGAGCTAATTTTGATATCTTGTACATGATTCAATTCAAATTGAATTGATTGCAGTTCATAACATATGCCCAATATTATGATGCTTAGCTCTCCACTAAATAAATTTTTTAACGAAGCGTGTTTAGCTGCTAATTGCCTGAAAATTACGGTGAACACGTCTAATAGGTGTTTTTGCTTCACCTAGCTCGAAATTACGAAAGTGCACAGGAGCAACTGAATGTGGTTAAGGCTTATTCACACGATGCATCTTTTCAACGCGTCACATTTTAGCGAAACCGAGATTTCGCGAAATCGGCCTGTTCACACGTGGAGCTTGACGCGCGAAACTTGGGACGTATTGACTCTCGAGAATTTCGTCAAACCTTGTCATCTGCACCGGGAATATCAAGCGTTTTGCATAACAATGATATGAAGTACGCACAGGGTCAATAGACAATCTGTTTCATTAATACTACTATACAAACTTTGTTGGATTCGGTTCAGTGGGTTTACTACTCCTGCCAAACTCGGAAAAGACCGCGAACGTCAAAAAACAGGCAAATGATCTCAAAGCATTTCGGACATTTTTGCACTGCTAATAAAGAAAGTTATCCCCAGCCGTCATGTTTATATGCGTTACTTGCTCTCGTCGCGACTGTTGATGAATCTGACCGCACCACCAACCCGTACTGCTAAAGCGCCGATCACGCACCTGCAACCGAGTAGGACCAAGACTCATCGCCCGTACGCACCGCTTCTCCGCTTGCCGCTCGCCATGTTTGTTTGTTTTCTTTCGGCTTCGGCTCGGATACGGAATCGGCGAAAAATCGGACTCCTCCAAAAGCTCGCTCCTCCTCGAAGGTGAGACGTCATAGCGAAGTCGAGCGGCCATTGGCAGCGCCCGCGTTTCTCATTCGGGTGATTGACAGGCCTCGGTGAGGTTTCAGCGAAAAATTGCTCCAAAAACGAGGTACACGCGCCACTTTTTTCGGAGGCGCGCCACGTTTTCGGTCGAGTTCAGGCGGGGAATCTGTTTCCCGAAACCTAGTTTCGCGACACAAGATTCGCGAACAAAATGCATCGCGTGAATAGACCTTTAGCAAGCGTCTTACAAAAGTACGCCAAACTTTTGGTGTGCTTCCAGTTTTTTCGGTAATTCAGACTAATTAACTAAATCTGAAATTATTCCTTTAAGGGCCGAGGTGTGAATTATAACGTTGTAGTGCGTATTGAAAAACATCCAACTGGGCTGTTTGCTACATGATACGCTTTACGCTCTTCTTTTTCCTTTTAGCCTAAATAGAAAGCCCGCGGAATATATATGTACATAAAAGACCAAGATAGGCTCTGAAGGAACAAAGTCTACCTTATGGCTGGCGCGCTGTCCAAGACAAGGCTTCGTGTTGGTTTAGGCCCCGAAGAGAGGCGCGAGCACAGCCTGCTGCAGAGCTCTGTCTCCGAGAGCGCTCCCATGATACGGTGGACTCGGTTAACTGGGAGCACGTCTGAGAGCGTTGCAAGCGTGACGCGGGGGCATGCGGTTACGTAGTCTTTTTGACATATTTCACGAGCTTTCTTTGCAGGCTAAAGAAAGCGCGCCAACCATATCATGTAGCAAATACCTGTTGTTTCTTTTTTTTCAATGCGCTCTACTACTTTCCATTTCGCACCTCAGCCCTTAAACGAATTATTAAACGTTATCTAATGAATCTTAATAATGAATTAACTAGGCGCACTAAAAATTGTCCATTGTTGTAAGATGCTTCCTAACATACATACAGTTCGTTTAATTTGCGCAGAGAGGTTCGTCTTTTTAAAGTTTGGTGCAAGTTATCTGGGATACGCTGCATAGCGTCGTACTAACCCGTCTTCGATATTTCAGTACTTGAAGATAGTTGCTGATATGAAAGGAAATCATGCTGCTGCCAAGATCTGCCCCTTTCACCGTATGACCAACCAAAGTGACGAGTGTAACGTGCCCTTAGAACCAAGTAAGAAATGCGTGCGTTACTGAGTGTATAACCAAACTTTGATGGGTTACATTATTCTTGATGTCCCTTGCTCATAAGACTCATAATTGAGCTTAATTGTTTTATTACATATTCTTACATTTCCGCATTTTGCGAGTTCTTATAGGTTGTTTGTTATCTCCCTACCACTTTTACAGCGGTTTTATATTCAAACACACGAAAAACCCTAAAAACCGCCAAACTCAACACCTTCTCTCCGTTTGAGTACGCGGACGACAATCATTGTTATCTCAGGAGCGAGCTTAACAAGCGGCGGAGTCCAGAAAGTTTCGGTGATTCGAACCGGTTCGTTCCAATATTCAGAATTGCCACTGTGACAGCTATCGTAACCGAATTGCATTAAACTCATCTCATACCAATGGCGGCTTTATCGTAATTTTGAAAGGAAGAAGTTTAAGACGCGTCCTAATATATGATAGGGGTAATGTACACTTGAGAGGTTAGTATAAGGTGACGCCAGAATCGAAATGCGTGCGCTGCGTCAGTTTTCACTCTGGCCCAATAGACGCAATTGCAGCAGCTGTGCATGGGCGCCGCCATAACTGTCCTTCAGTTTCTGTTTCCCTCTATTCCATTTTCTTCCTTTCATCATTGCTACCATAGCAGGCCAGGTTATTGCCATCTTAAATTCTATTGTGTCCTTCTCAGCAATGGACTTTCTGGAGGCTCGTCAATACCCGTTTCAGTGGCTCGGAACCCCCGTAAGAGAAGAGAAGGTTAGCAATGGCGGCTCTAGCCGGCTCGTGTGTAAAGCGTCTCTCTCTCTCTCTCTGTCTCTCTCTCTATATGTATATACATATAGATATAAGTCAAAGATGCGTACTGTCGGAGTTACTTCTTCGAAGTTTATTACCCCGCTCGAAACGTCGTAATAAACTTCGAAGAAGTAACTCCGACAGCACGCATCTTTGACTTTTTAACTTTTCCCGGTCCATTGTTTTTATATTGACCTTACTTCACCTAGATATACATATATGTATAACGGACCTTGATGTAGATAATTTTATCAAGATCTTTATTCAGGTCAGTGCTTCGTGAACATCGTTTTTTTTTTCGTCGCCACAAAACTAAAACAAACTCGGGAAGAACTCTGCAGTGCAGAATACATTCCCATCGGCCGCTGACGTACGAATGTGACGGTACCCGGTAAAATACTCCATTACTTTTGCTGACATTAGTGTGGCCAAGGTTAAGCCGTTGGTTGAGCCACTATATGGCACTGAATTTTAGAGAGGGTCCGCTTTGCCATCTGTGTTGTGACACTGTGCACGCCGTTACATGTGTTCAATCTCCCCACATACTTTCTATAGCTTTTTTGTTGTTGGAATGTGGAGGCGATGGCTAGGACGAATTTTAGCCGCAGGAATGCGCACTTTCCATAACCGGTAAAAATGACCGACGAAATTTTAACGCTATTCCAGTGATCATACCAAAATCTGAATAAACAGGCATATTGAAACGCATTATAAAAGTTCAATCTAGAAAATGAAAAAAGAAAAAAAAAAGCTGAGCAAAGCGTTAATTCTTAATAAAAAAAGAGACATAATATCTGGTAAAGATGACAGGCAAAATATAACCATTTGTGTCGTTCAAGTTCTTTGTGAAATAATTACTCTGCCACACAAAAATGCGGCATACTCAAAATCCTTTTACGCACAAGAAAAAAACAACAAAAAAAACAAACAACGAGGGTGCTGGTTAAAGAGACAATACTAAAGAGAAATGATAAAAAAACACAATTTTTAATTGCTGTTTAATATGACAGGAAGAGACTATACCTTCTTAGGACGTACTAATCTTTACTTCTTCTACCCTTCACCGAGAATAAGCATGTTTCTCAATGTGGCGTTGCCAGAGAGTTCTCACAGGCGTAGTCTAATGACAAATGTCACCGGAATCCTTCATACTCTTGGTGACGGTCTCGGTTCAACGAACAGCCAATGTTGAAACCATACTTTCCTTGGACAGCTATCAAGAACATTCTCCAGGACTCCAGAGACTACGACGAGCTGCTTCATGTTTGGAACGAATGGCGAAGAGTATCGGGAAGGCCCTTGAAGGCCCAGTATTCTCGCTACGTGGAACTCCAGAACGAAGCCGCTATGATAAACGGTAATTACGAGTTTAAACCTGCAGTCAAGTTGGATCGTCAGCGGAAATATGAAAGGGCATTAAAGTCGGCTTTGACATCGTCTTTATATTGCACAAACTCAAAGTACAGAACCTGAGAATCACAGAAAGCCCACAGTGACAATCCCGACTGGCAATTTTTCTATTAAGACGCGGACGCAATTCGCGACAGAGCTGGTTTTCTGGGATTTATATTAAAAAGAGGCGTAAATCTTTGTTCAGTCGTGGTTGAAACAATGAAAAAGGTGACGGGTGAATGCAATTCCGTATTTGTTTTTACGCTTAGCTTGCGTAAATGCAGTTATAACCATTAAAGGTCAACTTAAAGTCTAGAATGTACCTTTCTTAAGAGACCTCTTAAACGTCACGTGTTAGTAACGAAATAAATGTTTAACCCAGCAAAATATACACTAAATGTGTTAAGGTGGCCTTTACTTTTGAATTCCGATTGCCCTGGATTATTCATTGTACTTTAATACAGTGAATAATTACTTCATGTTGAACCTCAACTTCTCCACGGTGCTTTTACTACGATCATTCTGAAATGAGAAAGCCTTATGATTTTTTATTATTTTTGTTAGCAAACATAAACACGTCCATCTCAATATATCGAGCTAATACGTCAATCATCTTTTGGAGAAAATTCAAAGAACATATATAGGTCTATATTTATTAATAATTTTTGTCGGTTTGCATGAAAGGTTAGAAATGAACAACTGCCACTGCTACACAAGGGCCAATAAATTTTAGAGAATAAAATATTAGGCCGTTCCGACCTTAATGCAAAGCCTATTTGAAAGAGACCGGCTCGCCAATAAGACGAACGCAAAACTAATTACTTCCTGAAGATTTCACTTCATTTGAGACAATACGATACTCTGTTAGAAGGAACTGAGACATTTTAAAGATATTTTAGGCTGCCATTTGCTTGGAGAAACGGTCTACTAAGGCTGGACGAAACCATTGATCTAGACATCTATTTTCTCACCAAAACTCTAATTGATGAATCATAAATGAGGTTGTCTTAGTTATCAAAGGTGTCTCTCTAAGAGTTGACGAGTGATGAAATTTTGTGTTTTTTATCTGTGTAGGCCTCCTATTAAGTTAATGCGGAAATTATACAAAAACACGAGCTAAATGATAAATCATTTGAAGTTGTTACATTAAAACGCGTTCGTTTTTGGCGATCCATGAATGATTAATAGGATTATAAGGCGATGCCGACGAAACGTGATTTCTTTGACACACTGGCAATTCCAGGCTTTGACGATGCAAGCGGAATGTGGCAAGAAAGCTACGAATGTGAGGACTTCGAGGAAAGCATTGATCAGCTATGGGAGCAGTTGCAGCCCTTGTACAAGGAACTGCACGCGTACGTTCGGGCAAGGCTGCACGCCCTCCACGGCGACAAAGTGAGGGAGGACGGCCCCATTCCCGCACATCTTTTGGGTAAGGAAACGTTTAAGTTTTTCGAGATTTCATACACCATAAATATTCTTTATTATTTTTGTCACGGTTCAGGGCCCAACCGTTGGAAAAGAAAAACAGTGCCCAACGCTGGAAGAAATTATAATGTATTACACACAAAATAAAAAAATGAGAAGAGCATTCAGAAACTAATATACCAATGAACGAAAGTTCTCAATAGTCTCACATGTACGTTTGTACGGGACGATCTGATGCTCGGTCTCAACTCTTGGCCAGTCTGCCCTCTGAAATACTCGGTTATGGGCTTGTTTCGTGTCACTGCCTGGAGTCGCTGTCACTGCATGGTTTGGGTCACCACCGAATCGGTCTCTCATGTAACTTCGTCCGCACCCTTGAGGTTGCTCCGGTCGCTGCCGAGAGTCCCACGCCAGCGTTGAATGAATGCCGAGGTTTCTAATTCCCCCTTCGATGGTCGCCGAGCCTTTCCCGGTTCGCTGCAGGGTTCCTTTCAGTGGCTTTAAGGCACCACCCCGAAGGTGCGCTTCTTTTCGGGTCGTCGCCGAAATCTGGGCTCCTTCGCTTCAAATGATGTTTCTCCTCCTCGCGCCTCTTGTCCGCTTCTTTATTCTTTTACTCGGCCGTGAAACGTGAGAATCACATATTGTTTTTGCAGGTTGAATGAAACTAAGGATATTGACACATGAAGTTCATTTTTCGTGCTTTTATAACACCGCAATGACCCTGGAAAGCAGCCGAAGCAATCTAGAAACATTATTGTAATTAGGATAAAATATAACGAGAACAGTATTGAGCATTTCAGGGGTTGAGCTTGAGGCCAGTTTTTAATTACGTGAGTAATCCCAGGAGTAGGTCTTCATGAACTTCAAATACTTTAGACTTTTAGAGCGAGGTACGTCGAATCAGGAGCGTAGAAACAGAAATTACTTTTAGGAAACGCACATTTCTTAGTCGGGTTGATTAAAAAATTGCCCTCTCAATTTTTGCTCTTAAAAGCGCAAATCTGGCTACCTTTCTGCAACTAGCTCCACGCTGTTATAGAAAGTGTCTTTATGGGTGTGTTGTCTATGATTATTTAGGACAAAACGCAATGTTGTTTGCAAATAGTTTTATACAATAAATTATAGGTGTTTTACTCAATTGCATTCTCTTAAGATACGATCAAACTCTTGGGTATGACACCTTCTCTTCAAATCTGTGAAGGTCGATTTGGCACAATATTGCTTCTGCCTAATTGGGCTACTTCTTTATCTGATTCAAAAATGCAGTATACACCTTAGGATTAAAATTGCTTATGACGAAATTACGCGTCTTTATATTTTGAATGGAAACAGCTACTTGGATAACTATAAATAAAAGCGACGCTCGCACACGCATTTTTTCCCAATGAAACCGAGCTTGTTTCTTCTTGTTCCAAAAAGTATTTCAACCGGCAGAACAAACATTTTGCCATCAGTGCTTATGGAGAGAGCTGAATAGATTTCCTTAGTATAAGTGGGTCTTATATAACTTGCACCAAACTTTAGAAAAAAGACGGAGCGCTCTGCCAGGGGGAAACCAACTGTATGTTGTTAAGAAGCGGTGTGGAGATAGTGCACATTTTTAGTCCGTCAGTTGATTAGTTAGTTAAGAATATTTTGCTAATTTTTTAATTATTCGTTTAAATTGGAAACTTGTGAAGCGCATAGGGAAACACCCAACTAAGGTGTTTCCTACAGATACCATATGAGCGCTTCTTTTTTTTTTTTAGCCTAAATAAAAAGCCTGCGAAATATGAATACAAAATCCCGTGACAATGCGCCCGTGAGTCTAAAGTGCTGGATGAATTAAAATTTTATAAACGAGTACCGTTAAGTTGGTGCATGCTGGGATGCACTCGAGCCAAAAATGGCGGAGCGTCGTCGCCCAATGAAAGCGTGCTCGCAAACAGTGGCGCGTCACCGGCAGCCACAGTAGATGTAATAGGAGCGTGCGCGTCTTGATGTGGGATGCACCCTGAGCCAAAAATGACGACGCGTCGCCGGCACCCAATAGGAGAGGAAGCGGCATGATCAAACAATTGGCATTGCTTTGATAAGTCAGGATATCCAGGGCTTTACGCGCGTCGCGCTTGCAGCGCTCTCAGACGTACCCCGAAGGAACTAAGCCCGCCTTTTCACTGGCGCTCTGTCCGAGACTGGGCTTCTTGTTGGGGTGGTCCCCGAAGATAAGCGAGAGCACCTGCTGCCGCAAAGCCCTGTTTCGGACAGCGCCAGTGAAATTGTGGACTTTGTTCCTTGGGAGCACGTCTGAGAGCGCTGCAAGCGCCACGGGCGTGCGCGTTGCCACGTGGTCTTTTTCATAATTCGCAGGCTTTCTTTTTAGACTAAAAGAATAAGAGAGACGCAAAGTATCTCTTATCTCGTGTACGAAACACCTTAATTCGGTGTTTCCTAATGCGCTCTACAACTTTCCAATTCACGCATCACCATCTTTTAATCTTAACAAGCGTTTTAGTGAAAGTCTGCCAGTGAAGTACAGGTTTACTGTGGCCAGCCGGATTTACAACCGTCATGAATAACAGTTTAACATGCTTGGTGGCTCAAACATTTCCAATTCGTCGCGAATATAGATATTTCTCTCTATGTATATATTCGCATATAATTTGCACCTCTGTTCTTACTTTTAGAGTACTTACTTTAAGAAATAAAGGCAGTAGTAGCAGTTAGAAGTTGAAAAATTTGGCTAGAGCTCCTAGAACTTAAAACTTTAATTGGCGAAACAGGCTTATTGGTTAAATGAATGCAAGGAACGAGCAACGCGGGCTTTGTTTTAATTAGGAGAATACTTTCACTTAAAAGACCCCTGAAAAGAAAAAGAAATGTTCTTTTTTAAAACAGTACGCCTGAGACACGCCTGTCAAAAAATAAATTATGGGCGAAAAAAAGTAGAGTAATATTGACAACGAGAGATTTATTTCAAATTCTGCGCTCGAAGTCCATGGCGTCAGGGGTCATTCCGGAATGACCATCTCGGTCGTGAAGGCGAAGCCGATCCACCTCTCTTCCACGCGCCCGAAATGCCGAGAGAGAAAACAAGGGGAAAGGAGGTGATTGCCGACTAAATCGCGTCTCGCGCCGTCAATATTGCTCTAAATGCTTTTGTCGCGTAACATTTTTTTTTTTGACACGCGTGTCCCACATAGTGTGCTTAAAAATATTTTTTTTTTCTTTTTGGCGTTCTTCAAGCCCAATGTCCAAATACAGCACACAAACTTTATCTAGTCATAAAATGGCACGGAATGGCAATATAATCCCGACTTTGGCATCGCGCAAAAATGCCAGCATGGAAGGTACTCTTTGCAGCGCTGTGCCCATGAAGAGAACAAATCGATGCAGCGTGTTTTTGAAGAATAAACACAAGAGTAGGATAGAGAAGCATCACTATAAATATAAGGAAAATCAAGAACGGGTTGCTCTTTTAAGTTTTCCTTCAATGTTTTAACATTGCGCACTAAAAGGAGTTTGGGGCGACATAAAAAAACAACTAAATTTTGAGATAACACAATGATATATATATATATTTAATTGGAACTAACGTGTTAATAAAAATATATGAAAAAGGTTAAACGTCGTAGCTATTTAATTTGTTTAGTGAACGGCTCAGAAATCTTGTGACAAAACGTCAAAAAAAGCCATGTTTGCAAATTTGGGACGCAAAACATACACTCTGCACAATGCTGTACATATTTAAATCAATAGTGCCCACGATCTATTATAGGTAAAAAGTATTTGAAATTTCTGATACTTGTAGTTTGCGTAGTAGATGTCACCAAACATGACATAGACGAATACTTCAAAATCGAACATGCCATTCTGGCGCACTCTACAGATATTATGTTTCTCGCAAAAAAAAAAAAAGGGTAACTTTTCCTACACATGTTGAGGAGCACCGTATAACGAAAAAACAGTTTGGATTTGCGTGCATGTTTTTATCTGAACAGAGCCAAATATAGCCGTAAAACGTGAAAAAGGCGGAAGACTGTTTCATTAAAACGCGCTTTAATCGTGACAAGAAATATATGCTCATTCCAAAGTATTGTATTGCGAGCGCTTTTTGAAAACTGTATTTTAGAAATGACATACACTTTGTGGCCTGATTGCACGTTACGAAATGAGGGTCAGTTTTATATTACCAATAATGTGTTGTTTAACAAGACTGTTTTGCATATTTAAAAAGAGTACCGGCGCAAGATAATCTTGATTTTTTATAGAACAAGATGGTTTTAAAAATTAGCGGATGAGAAACTGGGTTTTATCATTTAATTTATTTTTGGCAGACTTACTCATACTAGAAATTCAAAACCAAACAAATTTATTATTTATCCTAACAGGTCAGATCCACTCCCAGCAATGGAACTCATTGTACAAGTTCACACAGCCATATCCCGGAAAACCAACTGTTGATGTGACTGATGCAATGTTAAAAATGGTACGAAATATAAACATGAACTAAAGGTTCTACGACGCTGTAAAATGTCCTAATTGGCTGTCTCTCCTGACCTACAGAACATGACTCCGACAGAAATGTTCAAACTTTCCGAAAAATTCTTTACATCCATGGGGCTTCCACCAATGCCCGATTCCTTCTGGGAAAAGTCGGTGCTGGAGAAGCCGACAGACAGAGAAATTGTTTGCCACGCATCTGCTTGGGATTTCTGTGGAAGCGGTGATGTGCGGTAAGTAATGCCTGACACAAACTATCTTTAAAAACTCCTTAAAGTTTCGAAGGTTTGCATAATAAAAAAATGAAAATGTTGACATCCTCTGAGACAAACTAACTCAAATGGCAATCTCTTCACTTATCAAAGAAGTTGTACTGGCGGCATATATTCTGATGATTTATGACAATTGGAATATGCTGCTTATAGTTACAGTAACACGAAAAGAATTGAGTTTACTAGCGTATTATTAAAAAAGAAACTTAACATTCCAATGCAATTTTTGTATAACTCCCCGTGTAATGACTTCGCAATATTGTTCGTAGTTACATATCTATTATTACGCTGAAGGCGATTTGTTTATTGCTGTTTGTCAATCTATACTTTCAGAATAAAGCAATGCACGCAAGTCAAGATGGATGATCTCCTAGTCGTCCATCATGAGATGGGTCACATTGAATACGACCTCAATTATGCCAAGCAACCGTATTACTTCAGGGCTGGTGCAAACCCTGGTGAGTTTTGCTGTGATTACCGATGTTACACCGTCAAACAATATTACGCCGTCAGGTGTACGGAAGATTGTGCAGCTTTACAGCTTGCGCACGAATATATTCTTCGCAGGTTTCCACGAGGCAATAGGGGATACAATATCTCTCTCCGTGGCCACACCAAAGCACTTGAAGGCCGTTGGTCTTTTGGAGCAAAGCCCAGAGGATACAGGTACTCGTGATTCACTCACAAATCATATATATATTTCATTAGGTCAGGGGTCGGTAACCGGCGGCCCGCAACCTGGATGTGGCTCGCGGGGCAATATTATTCGGCAACCGGCACACCACCCAGAACAGGTCCCCTCCCTTCCCACTACCGCACACATGCGTACAAACACTCCAGAGGGCCGATGGCGCAAGAAATACAGTTAATTGAAAGCCTAGTATAACCGGACGTATTATCTCTGAAACGACACGCCGCGGGGTTTGTTTCCTATCCACGTTTACTGAGCTATCATTAGCAATTGTTGAGCACCAATGTGATGCATTTGAAATCAATAATTATTAATACATTATTTCACTTTAAGTCTGGACGAAGCCAACGTTACGAGCTGATGGGATAAATGAGACAGTGTTGAAAGCACACTTCTATGATGTGCTCCTCATGTTTCTGTACGGGTTCTATCATCGCTGAACGAATCATAAAAAAGGCCGAGTGACTTGCGCTTCTGGCGCATATTGATTGGTCGCATTAGCTCGTAGCGTCGGCTGCGTCTGGAATTAAGCCGAAACGAAGTATAGCAGAAATTTTGTAGGGAGTGTCATTTTTAATTTCATCAAAGTTTGACAAACACGGTGGCGCCCATGGAGACTTCCTGTACTACACAAAAGTTTAACGAGGAAAACAAGATTTTTGCTGTTTCTTTTTTCTTTGTGAAGAGATCACGTTTTTTTTCCGTGGGAGGAATTCAACCCTGCAGAATCTCCCTGATCCTCATTGAGTGTGCGACTTTGCATTACATGGTTGTTATTCTACATAACCTGAACAACTTGTACGAAATGCAACAAAAACAAGGTAAACTCGTGGCTGGGTGTTCATTGATGTTATTAAAGTTTTTTAGCCGAAGCTCGATCTTTTCCAACAAAAAAAATCTAAATAAAAGATATTTAAAATTAATTTACTTTGTGGAGAACTTTGTAAAGAAAAAAAAGCACATATTTCCACGAAAAGAGTCTCAGTGAAATGGGATGTCAGACAAACGGGGAGTTTGAATACATGTTTCCTGATTTTGAGACACAATTTCCAGAATTCATTTAACGCAGACCTTGGAGTACTTAAATATATTTAGCAGATAAACCTCGCCGATCACCAATCAGAGAATAGATTGAAAGATGTAAATGCAGTAAACGAAGTTTGTTACGTTTAACTTCGGCCTCCCTGAATCAGTTTTCATATCTACGGAAGTTTGTGGCAGCACTGATAGTAGTTTTTGCTGCCATCAATGCTTTATATAAAATCATATGTTTCCATGATAAATACTATAAAGTCAAATGTGCGGCTGCGAATGACGTATGATTATATACACAACGTTTTAGGACTTTCAGTTTGTAGCCTTTAAGTGAATGTGAGCATCTTGGCGGGCAATATTGAGCACAAAAACGTTAATTGAATTGGGGCTCTTTAATATTAAGTCATATGTGCCTAATCAAAAGGAGGAAATTCTTATTTCCTCGATAATTTGAACTTATGACAGTAGTGTACGTTTTATTTTCGCAAGATGACGCCCCCCTCCCCCCTTCCCCCCACTGCTTTTTTTTATCTGGTTCGCTTATTCTCCGTTTGATTCGATTCGGGCCACCGAAGGACAAATGCTGCCGACCTATTCCGTAGGTCATTCCTGTGCTTTGTCAGTTATATTCAAAATTAGTAGAGAGCAGAGATTTCTACAACACCCCTCTAAGGTATTAGTTGCAAACGGAAATATATTGTGCTAAATATACTTTTTATTAACTAATCTTGTGATACGTTTGGGTCTCACAAGATTATGCTAGGTCTTCCCTGGCATAAAAACAAATTCGATTTTATGTCATACGTGAGTTCTTTTGAGAGCCTTGAACAAAAAAAAAAAAAAAAAAGGTGCATTCGTTTTGCAGCCTTTGAAAAGATAACAGCAGTGTAATAAATCGAAGGCTGTAAATAAGGTAACAGTATACAAAGAATTAGTCTTAGGCGAGGTGCTTGATTCAAAACCTATTAGAGACGTTCTGTCTAAAACAGTATAATATGAAACAGTTCTTTTTATTTCGCTCGCGTATCTGCTGGTTTCTCCAACAATAATAGTCAAAACTAAAATTAGATTGCGAAGTTTTGATCCCATTTCTTAATATATATGTATATATATATAGCAAATCGAGAGATAATGCTGGACGGCAAACGCTGAAAGATGCCGGATTGAGTTTAAGCTCGTATTCTTGGGGGGCCTACGCAAATAAACACTCAGAGAATGTGATAATCTTAAAGAAAAATGAAGTGTATACAAATGCAGCAGATTCGTATGCATGTTACTTTATAATGAAGTGTCATGCAGAAACACTCAGATAACATGCATTTGCCAGAAAAGTACTTTGACTTTTGTTGTTGCCCTACCTTAAGTGTGAAGTGGGCACTTCCTTATAATTCTACACCCGACGTAATAAAAAACAATGCAATCCTGCAGTCGTATTAAAAGACTACGGCGGTGTAAAGTCGGCTTCCGTAAAAAATAATTTAGATTACGTGTACTTATTTTTGTTGGAGACTTTACATGCGTTCATATTTAAGAAGATTTATGAAGAAGACGTGAACATTACATTACTTTGACAGTTAAAAAAGACTGCCACGCAGCACATATCTACCACAATATATTATATTACTTCGGTTTGAAAGTTTAATTGAAAAAAAGTTTAACCTTAGGGATATTTATTTGTTGAAAAGTAGAGCAAGCTACACAATGCACAGCCATCTGCCCGTGGGAAAATATGCCACAAAGTAGCTGGGCGAACGCCATAGATATAGATATTTCTTTTTTGTTGTTAAAGGTAACTACTAATGATGAAAAATATTTTTTTTACGTTCGACTGAAAAGTAGTTTTTGAAGTTTCTTAAGCTGTCACCTGACAGTATAAGAAACGCAGTCACAAAGCAAGAAACCTGAACACAAGTCGTTGGTCTATCTTAAGCTGTTAGTGAATAAAACACGCCTTTTTTCAGAGACTGGCATAAATTACCTGTACAAAATTGCCCTCGACAAGGTTGCCGGAATCCCTTCGATGTACGTCTACGATCGCTGGCGTTGGAACGTGTTCAAAGGAAAGTATCAATCCGAACAGTTGAACAAGGGATGGTGGGACCTTCTGTGAGTACATTGTCACTTCCTTGATAATCTGCGAGTACTTTGGCATTGCTTAACGCAAAACACCATATTTCGTTTCTTTATTTGTACCGCTTTGGACCGTTTGGTGCAACCAACGCAACGCCTCTCGCTTTTTTATTCCTCAGTGAATACAGATGCTTTCGTGAAGTTACAACAGTTATGCATGAATACACAAATAAAATGTGGTTGTTGAAATGTACGCGCTACCTTGATATTGTTTAATAAAAATCTGCTCCTTCTTTCATTTTAAGCGAAGCTGATCTGAACAGTAGAGGTTAATAATTTTTTTAAAGTAGAATCTCGCGTATTAATCTGCAGTTTTTCGGACATTTCAAGGACCGTCTGGACATACCAACTCAGTTATAATATTTTACGTTATTGAAATGTTTCAAGAAAGTACTGAATTATGTCACGCGCCGAAATTTGAGCAGGTAACTTTATATTTACCATACTGGTAAATGTGCTGTCCCTACCCGTTCATGCCTGAACGGGTCGCTGGTACATCGAAGCTGTTGGCGTCCGTGCGCTTCGGCACAGGTCTTGAGCTCATATGAAGCGTCTGAAATTATTGGTCTTTGCTTCTTTTAAACTGCGGTAGCGCGTGCGCTGGACAGGTACGCGCCTGGTTGCCCTTCCCAACCATGGGTAAGGCTGGAAATCACTGGCGTTTGTGACCGCCAGGAAGTAGAGAAAAAACAGAAAGAGCAATTACAATTTTAATATACGGTTTGGGTAACGTACGACTTCGTGCTTCTTTATATTTAAGCAAAAATAATCGGGTGATAGTAAATTATATATCAATTCGCGATAAAAAAAAGCTAGCCTTAGGAGAATAAGTGTGGCTCGGAAGCGTCAGACAGCTGCAGGAACTTTATTTCGAAAAAGAAAGCCCGCGCGCGAAAGGGAGAGATTTTTTTTTTTTTAATTGTGGCACAATATGTATAGTTGTGAAAAGGGGGTATAACAAGCTGCTAGGCCTGGCAGCTTCCCATGTTCAAGCACGTCAAACACAGCTTGTCCTTGATATATATATATATATATATATATATATATGTATTATATAAAACTTTGATTCTTTGATTCATTGGAATACGGTTCATTCATCTGCACATATTCGTTTATATATATATATATATATATATAGACCAACACGGCGGCTCTGACGTCACGCCTCTGCGATGGCGCTGCTGTCGGCATAGCGTATGCGCAGTTGCTTCGCCTCACGCGAATCTGGTTTCTGCGCACGCGCAGTGCCCACACTGCGGACGCAGTGCCCCCCCCCCCCCCCCCACACACACATATATATATATATATATATATATATATATTTATAAACACTTGTGATCTTAGGTTTTGAAGAGTTATTCAGTTCGTTGAAGGGAGACATGTGTAAAGTAAGAGTAGGAAGATTTGTTTATGATTGGAAAAAAAATTAATGGAATTGCGAAACCTGGGTAATATCACTAGGTAGATGATTTCTTTCTGTGCCTATTAAATAAAAAAAACTCCCGCGTACCAAAAAAACTCAAGGTAACAGGCTTAAGCTGAGCTTCAGATAAACCAGCTGAACTCCACCAGTCACCGCTAACGCACTACGATTCAAACTTATTGTTGCGTGAATTTGTTGCTGTTGACAAATTCATACTAATGTCGGATTAAAATTGGTAGAATATCGAAAGACAGAGACTTTAGACGTTGCATGTGAGATACAGCCGGAAAGCTGAACCTCTGGGGCCACTTTTGAAAGACAAAAAGCATGTCCCGAAATAGCCCCCTACATTTGCCCGAGTGACTGAGTAAAAAACAAAAGCCCCAGCATAGCTTCAAGATACAGCTGGCGAGGTATTCCGGGAGGACCTGAACCAATGCCTTCTATGAGGCAAGGCCTCCGCCATTCCTCCTTCGGTGCAATCGTAATTGAGTCCTGACATCAACAGATAGCTAATTTCATGATCACTGTGACTGCGTTGTTGTGACGTTCCGAATCTCAATAAATTTAAAAGCCCACGAGATAGCTGCTTTTAAATGTCTAGGATAACCTGTTTCTGAGCGCTGTTCGGGTATAAAATAATGTGTACAATAAATACATGAATTATGGGACCACATTAAAACTTTTCACAAATGTGTCTTTAGGTTGTGCATTGATTGTACTTAAAATGTATGGGTATATAATTAAAAAAATAAAAAACAGCATATATTTTTTTAGTTTTTATCCACATCCATAGAGAAAAAAAGTTACGAAAGCGTCTGGTTGACGCTGCCGCTTAAAGATGGTATCGGACACGCTCCGATTTGATGGATCTTCTTTTGGACATTTACATTTCAAAGAAGCCTTACGTTTTTTTATGCTGTGTCATCTGTGACAGCGTCCACAATATGGTTCTTGCTGTTTTTCTCCCTTTGCATAGGAAAGAAAGGATGTTTCCAGGCTAAAGTTTTTTTCCCCTGAAACCTACACTCATAAATGTTGAATGTATTAAATGCACCACCTAAAGAAACATTTTTAAAATTTTTAATGGCACGCAGTTTATTAAAGTTTTTATTCCCAAAGAGCGCTCCAACAGCCAGTATATATTTTCCGGATGCTTTTCTTGGCATGAGCCGGAGGCTCGCTTCATGCCTTATAGGTAGCGATGCAGAACAAAAGAAACCTTCTGCCAATTTTATCAAACCAGCGGATTTTGTGACATAATTCTTTTTTTTTTCTAACCTTGATTTCAGTCTAATGCACCAGGGCATCTGTCCAGGAGTAGCCCGCACACCGGAAGACTTTGATCCTCCTTCTAAATATCACATTTCTGCAAGCGTCCCCTACATAAGGTATAATTTAATTGGGAGGAATGCATTCGGAAACCATTTATTTTCATATTCCATCTTTGGTTTCCTGTCGCAGATATTTTGCCAGCACAGTATTACAGTTCCAGTTCTACAAGGCCCTCTGTGAGGAGGCCAACCACAAAGGACCACTTCACGAGTGTGACTTCTATCAGTCAAAGGAGGCTGGAAAGCTATTTGGGTCTGTGCAGTTATTGTTCTCCGGATATATTATATTGCAACTAGGGGTTGTCTGGATTTTACGCTGTAAGACGACCCAGAAAAATCGACGCCTGCATAAAGAAAGCTCAACGCTCCCACGAATGTTTACTGACGTGGTTCACTTTACCTTGTGAAGTTTTCTGTCAAAAATGACACCAACAAGCTTGCCAATTTAACGGCGGACGTGTTCGCAGACGACCGAGTAAGCGGAGGATGTAATTTGTGGCGCCATCCACCGATAAGCGCAGGTATCAGACGACGAACTTTGTTGTCTGCTTGCTGCGCCTGTCAAGAAATGTAGCCACAAGTTACATTTGTTGTTAATTTGGTCGTCTTCCAACACGTCCGCCATTTAACTTGGCAATTTCGTCCGTCTAATTATTTATGGAAAGGTAATTACGCCCTAAGTCTTCACAGGGTAAAATTCATCACTCAAATGCTTATTCGGTGAAAGTTCACATCTTTTATGTGAAAGCGCCAATTTCTTCTGCTCACTGTACAGCTTGAGATCCACTGTGGACGCACACCTTATACACAAAAACTAAATATCAAATGTGTGAACCCTCTTGAAAGTACAGTTCTGTGAATCTAAACTTTATCTTTATTTATTATGAAATAACTTTTTATTTCAGGAATACTGCCGGCAAACTCTTGTGGGCCAAGACATTGTTGCATGAACAGTTGCAAAGCAAACATCGTAAAAAATACAATGTCACCTTTCACACATTAAATATTACAAAAATAGCGATTATTTCATAGATATTTACTTATCTACAGTATCGGTCTCAAGCTCTAGCGAAACAATTATATGTAACAAGACTTGTCACACTTTGAGGGGAATCATTCAAATCCCGGACAGTTAAAAAAAAGAGAATATTTAAAAATGAATTTTTACGAGGCGGAAGCACGGAAATACGCGAAGCGAATTTCCGTGCTTCCGCCTTTCTTGCTACTCTCATTGTATTTCAGATAATCATTGACATTTAACGAAATCTTATCGCGTATTAGATAGTACAAAAAGTTTAAGCGCTTAACCTTCCTTCGACATGAAAATTCTGGTAACGTGGATAAGCATACAAGGATAAAATGGACGTTTTTCTGTCGTATGCGTTATAAATGAATCGAAGTGCCCTTATCTTAACATATTTTAATTGATCAATGGATATCTGAGGATGTGGGCCCTATTATATTTCTGCATATTCCAATAATAGACGAGTCAAGGAAATTTAAGCCACGAGCTTCCTTTTTGTGCGGAACAATGAAACACATTCCTTCGTAAAGATCACAGTCTACGAGAAGCATTCGCTTTGTTATTCACAAGATAAACAGATCAACTTAAGTTTGACTAGTGATTATACCTAAATACTTATAGGAAGTGACTATTTCTAGAAGAACTAAGCTTATAACATAATAAACAACACGTGGAGGCCGCTTTAGTGTCATTTGAACACAATCGTGAACGTTTAAATTCATTTGCCAAATCCGGCACCAGGAAGATACCATGGGCAGAATACCATTTAAAGATTCCTGATCAGCAATACATATTACTTTCATAAACAAAACACAATTGTCAGCAAAAACAAACAAAAAAAAACACACTAAATAATGAGTTGACCACCCGCAGATCATTAATAAGCACACACACACAAATAAAAGCGAAGGACCGAGTACCGAATCCTAGGGAACTCCTGAAAGAGCATACATTTTTATAGACTGTCTTACCAAAAAGTTATGTACTGCTGACGGTCCGTAAGGTATAAATATATTTTGTTTTTAGATTTCTCATTACACAAAAACGTGAATAAATTACTGTTAAAAATAAATAAACTACAAAAATACCTTCTTTCGTTGGTAAAAATATGGCAGGCACTTTTTTAAACGTTAATATCCGATAACTAGTCAAGATAAGTACCAAAACAATCAGGAGAGTACCAACTACAATATAAACTTAACTGAGAATTTAAGGTTAATTGATTCCTTTAATCGCAGATTTTGGAACGGCTTTGGGCTGATTAAGATTAGACATCAAATTTAAAAAAAAATACCTACATTTATTAACTTTTTTGATGTATGACTAGAAAGAAAACGCTTGAATACGAATACAAACGTTTGTTATTTTAAATAAGTCACAATTTAAAACGTCAAATTTAAATAAATAGGAGCACGAAGAAATAAAACATCTATATTTTTTGCATGCTAAGAACGTGCGGCAGTTACGTGTTAGTGCCTGGGAGTTTAACGTTGACCATCTTCCTGGGTGCAGTGACATCTTGGCATTGGGATCATCGAAGCCGTGGCCCGAGGTACTGGGGATGTTAACCAAGAACAGGACGACGAAAATGGACGCGGGACCGCTTCTGGAATATTTCCAACCCCTGCTCGAATGGCTTCGTAAACACAACGAGGGAAAGTTCGTCGGCTGGAAAAGCGACGACTCGACCGCTTGCCCCGCTCCGCCGTCGAAGGCTTGCTGAGTCAGATATCCTCGGGAGCGCCGCACTACTCACCACGGGCAATATAATTTAAGTATCAATAAATAAACGGGTAACTTTAAAAACCCGCAACTAGTTTACGTTGGTTTGACAAGTTGGTGTTGATAGGTTAGTTTCGCAAGTTACTTTGCAATGGTGTGAAACTTTCCGCTAATTAACCAGCTCAAAGCAAACACTTATAAACCAAAAAGTAGCCATGACTCAATTATGAACAATGTGGTCTTTGTTGGCTGTGGGAATAAAGTGGATTAATGTGGCAATGTGGGCCAGCTGTTTAATGACTAACGATAGAAAACAGCACCCAAAAAGCGGTGACACGCGAAAGGAGTTCAGTGCTCGTTCTGTTTGATCTTTTCTTGTGATAATGCAAATACTGCAAAGGTGCAAGCGAGCTGGACAAGAATCACGAAAATAATCCCTGTTGAAGGGGAACAAGGGCGGAGAAAGACCAACACAAATCTCCAAGGACAGCTAGGTGACTAATGTGCGACCAAAAAAATTTGTTTGCTTAACAGACGTCTAACTCCCCCTTTACAAAAAAAAAAAAAAAAAAAAAAATTGCTTCGCCTTTTTTTTTTCTCTATAAAAAGATAAAATATAATTTTGTAAAAAAAAACACAAAAACACCTCCACTTAAGCTCAGTTGGTAGAGCGCTCTACTGGGAGTGGAGAGGTCCCTGGTTCGATACCAGGATGAGGCGGATTTTTTCGGTCTCGCATCTCAATTAATTATTTTCGTACTTTCACTTGTGTCTTTTTTTGTGCGGTGTTGTTATCACGGGCCAAATACTTCACAGTTTATTGATAATGCAACCCTCATTCATGTAGTATTTTCTGCATTAATTCATCAACGCTCCATGAAGAGTACGTCGAACTCCTAATAGGCTTTTGTGTAAAAAAGAGGAGCCACAATATTGAAGAATCCAACAATATGTAAGCATAGGGTTAGTAACTTCATTTCTATGGTGGCAAACGAAAGATGATACAGCTATAGCACAACAACAATATATAACGTTATTAAATAAAAGTCCTATTTTACGAGAATATTTATCGAAACGATAGTATAGTAAAAGTTACTCAGAAAAATAATAAATTAGAATAACCCTCGCTTTTGAACAAAAGCTATTTGATTATATTAATTTATCAAATAGCTGTGAGATTTGGTATGGCATTTTAAATACACTTAATCATTGTGTCTCTTTCTGTCGTCTGGCGCAAGTATAATTACGAGTAACAAGTCTATCTTAGAGTTCTATTTATAGATTACAATTATTTAAATAAACATAACTAAAAATGTATAATTCTTTTTAATTGAGGAGGGAAGGAACATAACAATTCATTATTTGGTGCGAGAGGAAAGCTTAGTAAATGCTCCCTCTGCGCGCATGGTCGCTCAGCCGAGACACGGCCTCGGACAATGTACCTGCGCGGTGTACTTGCGACAGACATTACTTTTTTACTACTTTTTTTTTCTTCACGTCCGTATAGAACTGTAAGAAACACCTAGGTACCACCCACCAGAAATATAAAGAAGAAAGCAGTGCTCCAGTTTGTCGTATAAAAATTGCGGGCTTCTCACTCCGATTCCCTCAGATCCTTTCCCCGGATGAACATGACACGGCAAGAATTTGCTCTCGGCAAGAGGGTTTATTCACATACTTATTACGTGGGAGAGTTTCGGGATGGGGGGACGGTCATCAGCGAGGCCTTGGGGAAGCAAGTCCGCTGTGGCTGCTTCTAGTCCGAGCGGTGGTCGTCCACACCGCGTCATGGGGATGTCGTCGTTCGGGGTTGCTGTCCGGTCCGTCCGTCGAGTCCGCAGCTCGACGTCGCGCCCACACTTACATCACGAACCGTTAGCACTTTTCCAGTCGCGTTAACAACACCCAACAAGTGTCATATGAACATGATTGTGAACCTGAGACTGGGGCAGAAAGAAAACACAACAGAAGGTAGTAAAAGAGCAGGCAACGTCTCAAACTCAGCTGCAAAGTTTATTTAGAACACGCTTTATATACCCCATCTCCAACAAAGTCTCTACAAAAAAAAAAAAAAAAAAAAAAAAACAAGAGGACAATGCGATTTCGGTAAACCTTCTCTTATCTCCCTTGACCTCGGCTGTGGGACACTCACACATAGGGTCACATTCTAGCATAACCACCGCTACCCGGCGAACGTATGTGAAAACACTAATGAACACAAAGAAAGGGTTTGACCTTCAAAGGTGCGTTTCCTTTGAAGGTCAAACCCTTTCTTTGTGTTCAGTAGTGTTTTCACATACGTTCGCCGGGTAGCGGTGGTTATGCTAGAATGTGACCCTTTGTGTGAGTGTCCCACAGCCAAGGTCAAGGGAGATGAGAGAAGGTTTACCGAAGTGTCATTGTCCTCTTGTCATGTGTGTTTTCTTTTTTTTTGTAGAGACGGCGTTGGAGATGGGGTATGTAAAGCGTGTTCGAAATAAACTTTGCAGCTGAGTTTGAGACGTTGCCTCCTCTTTTACTACCTTCTGTTGTGTTCTCTTTCTGCCCCAGTCTCAGGTTTACAATCATGTTCAACTTACACCAGCTCGCCTGCACTCTGACTATTTTTTCGTTAAGTGTCATATCCTCGCCCAAACACAGATCGATTTGCAAATTCCTTTTTTTATTAAAACAGCCAAAGATTGGAACGATTTTCCTGAAAACATAGTACAGCCCAGGAACTTGGATAAATTAAAAAAAAAAAAAAAAAAACTCTTATTTACCTCCAGATCGAACCGTGTCGCCACCGTGTGGCCGAAATTGGAAACATGCGAACGCGGGGATATCGCCGTGCGTCGTCTGCTACGGGCGCACGTTTTGATGCATGCCCCTTTCCGGCTAAGCCGGACTCTCCTTATTAAATGTTTGATGTTTTTATTGTTCTTTCTTTTTACTAAGCGTTGTGTTGTATCGTTTCACACCTGTGGAAATTGAGCAACGCGATAAATATTATATCGGATGTTTCCATAATCTTAGGGCTGTGGTTTGTAGAGCCTTTGGTCCTACGTATATTTGTTATCTCGCACAAACCATAGCTTTCGTAAAGCCTTGAATCTTGATTGGAGCGGCGGGGTTAATTAACACATTAAGTCGACTGATCGCCAACCTTTAATAGACTAATCAATCAATTAATCCGGTATTTCATTATTTTCTGGTCATATTACATAAAAGACGTTGAAACTACACATTATTTTTTTTTACTATTTTTACTATGTCATAACTGTCATATTGCATTGCCGTTTTAAAGTTCACGTTGTGTCACCTACAAAAATATGAACATGGGAAGCCTTTTAGAGTGAAGTGATTTTCAAGTTATTATTTAAAGATTGTAATCCCCTCGATGACAATCACAAGCATGCTGAAGTGGTTTACCGTGCAAGCCTGTGTCCCAAAAGAAATAAAAACGTCGGAAATATAAAATCAGGCATTTTTTATTTCTCCTGACTTTCTCCAGCACAAGATTCCGATTTAACGGATAAAAAAATAAATATCGGAATTAAGGCATCACTTGATTAATCTAAAGGGTCCTCGATGAACTGCCCAGTCCCGATATGCGTTAGGTGAGGGCGGAGGGTGATGGGAAAAACTCGTGAGAGTCGCTAGCCCTCATCGTTAAAAGAGTATGGCTGCGGCTGATGCCGTCTGTGTCGTGGTGCGCGTCGTTTGTTGGAGTTGCAGAGTCGACTGTGTTTAATTAGAAGATTACCGCCGAATTCAGAAACCTCACTCAAACTACACTCAAACTGAAGGGCCCCTCCACTTCCTTGAGGGCCGGCGCTGGCCAATCGCGACGGCGGATCCGTCCTCGCGATTGGCCAGCGCCGGCCCTCCCGCCTTCCTCGAGGAAGTGGAAGGGCCCTTCAGTTTGAGTGTGGTTTGAGTGAGGTTTCTGAATTCAGCGGTTAGTTAGCCACAAATTTATAATATTCGCCTCCTGGTACCCGCTGCCCTGACTGAGAAACTTAAATCGGGTGAACCCACACTCGCGAGAAAGGTAGCTAATAACACGAGCGCTACTGCCTTGCTCGGTTACATTCGTTTTGTTCCACTCGCGGCAGATATATTAGAATAGTTCGTTTCACTTGTTTCAGTTGTCCTGCCAACGGACGGTTTCCGGATCGTAACAAGAAGAGGCACTCGGTCCTCATTGCAACAGAGTAGTATAATTGTTCCGACTCCGAAAAACTTATCTACACCATGGCAAGGGAAACATTGGCTGCAGCAGAGCTCAATAGTACGGTAATTTCAGATACAGCTCCTACTTCTCTTCGTGCGAAATATTTATATTACTGCAAAAGCTAAATGTTACCAAATAAATGCACAGAGCCTGCGATTTCACAGCCCAGAGTACTAGTATTATGTTTTCCGGGCTGGAATGAATTTTTTTTGTTAAATCAGTTCCCCAGCCCAGTGGGGGGGGGGGGGGGGGGGGGGGGGGGGGGGAGGGGGGCTGGTGAACCGTGTTTTTTTATTTTTTTTTAAGAAACAAATATTTAACATAAATAATGCAGTTTACCCGGAGACAGGCAGTCATCGTGGTGCTCCATGCTTCCCAACGTCTGCCTAGAGCAGACGATGTATCCACAGGAGTGACTAACGAAAATTTAGGCCGTGCGCTGGTAACAGGATTTGGTCTTCACTGAAGCATCGAACAGTACCGCACCATTTTGCGCTAAAATTGTTTTCCCCACCGATAATATGCGGCAAAATAAACGCAAGAATCTACGCCGTCACGCGTGCGAACGTGGATAGCCTATGGTAAGTGCATGCTTCTATCCCCACTTTAATGATGATGATAGCGCGACGGTAGGTCGATCTCGAGGCCAATAGCGCTAGATCAATCGTAGTTTGATAATGATGAAATTCATGCGTGCATTTATGCGTTCTCCCTGTCTTTCTTGATATAGATGTGCTCTTTCTGTATTCTTTCGTATTTTGTCCACAGGTTTCTTGAATTTTTGC